TGAAAATCTGAAAATTCATGAATAGAATGCCTGCCAGCACACCATTGGCACGGCTGCCGAATGTCGCGCCGGGCAGCCGTGCCGTGGCACTCCTGCCGGCACGCTTCGCCGGCAACTGGGCCGAAAATGGCTGTGGTACGGCTGCTGGCGCACCCTCAGCTTATTTTTCGGCATATAAAAACAGCATTGCTTATTTTTTTTATTGCGTTCAAGTGGTGGTTGAAGAATATCGCCGTCACCGTCGCGTAGTCGAAACGGGAGCAGCCGCAATCCCTATTAGTTGGTTTCTTGGGTTTTCTATTGCTGGTAAATCGGATCCCGTCTTTTTCTTGGTGAACCTACGATTAAACGTTGACTATAGGCGTTTCGAGCATCTTCTAGTGTTGACTTAGCAACTAGATTCTATTCAATGATTGCTCAAGCGGTTCAAACTACTTACTTTCCTTTTGCAGTCTTTGCAGCTTGTTTAGTGGATCACTCAACACGGAAAACTAATTCCGCGTCAGAAAAGCACCATTTCAGGTTCAGCACCTGAAAAAATGGTCAATTATACCTACCAAACAATCGTTGTTTGTAACATTAGGCAAATGGCCATATTTTCAATCTAAATAAGTTACCGGGCAGGATTTCCGATCGAAAAGCTTTATCTCACTCGATTAGCAATGTACCTGCTAGATATTATCAATTCAGTCAGTTCTTCGACCATGCCGGCAGCCGTGCCGAATTTTAGTTCGCCGGCAGCCATGCCAGAGGGCGGTACCGCGCCGACAGGCGCGCCTCTCGAAACAGAGTTGCTATTCTTTGCAACCTGTGGGGGCGAAACGCACCCCAAGACAACCCGAAAGACAGCTCCCGGACGCTTGAGCCGCGGACACTTGCGCCGCGGACATTTGCGCCCCGACACCTAGCCTAAACTAGGTGGTGCAGCACAAGTGTTCGCGGCGCGCGTGTCGCGGTACCGAAAGACACCCGGAGGGTGCGTTCAAAGACACCCGGGGAGGCTATTAATGCATCCCGAGGGAGTGGGGGTGTCTTTCAAACGAACCCTGGGGTGCGTTTCTTGGGGGGTGCTTTCCGACACTGGCCGGGAGCTATATACGTAATTTTAAGCTTATTCCGAAATGAGAAGATCGTGGTACTTTGAATCTCGGTACGATGGATATGCGGAGTGGAAGATAGGCGAGATGAGAAGAGAGGCTGAGGAGGGAGGATTCTACCAACACCATGCCGCGGAAAAGCCTAGGATCCAAACGACCGGATCTTCGAAGCTTAGCTTTGCGGAGAGAATGATGCAGAAAATCAGTTACAAGGCAAAAGGCGCTCCGGGAAAATCTGGGCAAGGTGGGTTTTATGGAACTCATTCGAACATTCTAACTTTTTAGGTGACGCCGAACCGGTTGCTCTATCGACGCAGCGAGGCCGCACTGGTTTGGGCCCCGATTCTGCAAATGTAATGCTCAATGAATTACTATTTCCTTTTAGGCGTTCAAATTCAACCCGCTGCTCGAATGGAATGATTCGAGCGAGGAGAAGATGGTCAAGGAGGTTCGCTTCTTTTTTTTCTGGCAGTTATCTTTTTTCAGGAGATTGATTGGCTGGGTCTTTTTGATCCAAGCGACCCACTCTCAGGCGAGCAGCGCCGCATTGAGGTTTTTGATTGCTAACTTTTCCGGAACCGATTTTTAGGTCGGACGCGTTATCAACACGGAGAAGTTCAAGGAAAGGAAGGTACCAACCCCTTTTTCCTATGAGTTGGTGGTAGGAAAAATTGACCATTGATGACGAGGTTGATGTCGTGGATAAGAAACTGCTCGCCGAACTCCTGGCAGCCAAAACGGTAAATTTCAATAGATCTGGCTATTCCTGTGTGTTTTTAGGTTTTCGATCATCTTGATCAGCGGAGTCTTAACCAAGCCCGCCTTCGGGCAAACCCTTATGAAACGATCGCGTCCGGTATTTTCCAGGTGGGGCCCGCAAGTCGCCTAATTTGGAGGCGAAACTCGGCTTCTTTTTCTAATTTTCACCTTTCAGAACCGAGCAGCCATGAAAGCCGCCAACCTAGATGCAGTCTTCGATTTCCTCTTCACTGGCGAGGACCCGGCGCAAGTGGAGGTACATCCTTTTTTGCGGAATTAAAAATAGGTTTTTTTTAGAAAAAGTGCCCTTTGCGACTGGACAAGGTGGGGGAGAACACCACCCGTGATGCCCCACTATTCTATTTTGCCGACGTTTGTGGCGGTAGATTTTTCAGTGATATTTAAAGGTCTAATCAAGCGCTTTTTAGGCCCTGGCGGCTTCTCGGAATACACACTGTGGCGCAAGAACTTCTACAACGCCAAGGGATTCGGGTTTACGCTCAAAAGTGCGAAATTTTTATTTTCTATGCATTCTTTGTTTTAGATGACTGTGACTTCAACTTGCGCAAGTTCATGGCTTCGTCACCACTGCTTTTTGAGCCCCACTACGGTGAAACAAAGTTGGTTATCTTTTTTATGTATTTAAGCTTTAGCCAGAAAGCCAATCAAAGTATTTTTCTAGCACCGGTGACGCGACGAAGCCTCAGAATATCGAGAGCTTCGAGAAGTTCGTGATGAAGGGCACTGACGGGTTGGGCGTGCATCTGATGATGGCCGACGGCGGGTTCAGTGTCAAGGGGAAGGAAAATATACAAGTAAGTTTAACAATTTTTCTAACTTAATTTGTCTCAGGAGATCTGCTCCAAACGCATCTACCTCTGTCAACTTCTCATCTCGCTTTGCGTCCTACGCGAGGGCGGCAACTTCTACTGCTGTTTGTTTGACGTCTTCACGCGCTTCTCATACGAGTCGGTTTTGAAGTGATCGTTGGAGGATTACGGCGTCGTAAGGTCCTAAGTCCTAATTTCAGGCTATGTTTCTTGATGACGCTGTGCTACGAGGATGTCTGCATCCACAAGCCGCACACCAGCCGACCGGCCAATTCGGAGAGGTTTTGCCGCTATTGCGAATCCCTTATCCGAATTTAGATACATTGTGTGCAAGGGCTTGAAGCGCGAATACGCTTACCCAATCCGTGACTACCTGAAAAAGGCAAACATTCGGATGGAGAAACTGTGGAAAGTGGAGAAAGAGGGCAAGAAGGACGTTATGGAGCTGCTACCTGGTCACTTTGTCGACGGCAAGCTTACCATTGCTGAAAAGCGATTTCTCGAATACCTCACCGACAGCAATAATAGGTAAGCCCTGAAATAGTTGCTATGTGATAATTTTCTTAGGCTTGCAAAGCGTCAGACGCATTACCTACACAAGTATGCCAAATATGCCCGGAATCCTAATCTGATTGACCGCGATCAAGCCGATCTTCGCGAGCAGTGCATGGCTTATTGGAAGGTTGTCCATCCTACCTTTTCTTTAGGTTTTTTAGGTCCCCTACGACATCCAGGATAAGAAGAGCCTCAGCGCTTCACTTCACCAGGAGCTGAACAGCGAGCAGGCGCAGACGATTTTGGAAACATATGGCAGATATAGCAAGGTACGTTTTTTATGGTCAGCACGTACCAGGACGACTTTCCAATTGCAAAAAGAAAAGATAAAATAGTATTTTCCGAAATTTTCAGATGCTCTTCGAGGAGGTTTTTCCGAAATATCACCCGTTCCCAGAATTCATCAGGGATTTGCGGCCCGAAAAGGCTGATAAGCCACATTACCGTAACGAGGAGTATCGATGTGTGTGGGCAACTGCGGTATAAAAATTCAATTAGCGATAATTTTGCTTTTTGAACGAGGGCGGCCAGCAGCGACCTCCCCATTTTCTGATAGCCGGAAGGGTATGTTAATTGTCGCAACATGAGCGCTCATTTTATTTTAGGCGGGTGTCTATTTGTACCGGCCGAACTCTAACAACCCCCAAGGCTACGATAAGGAAGAATACTTTGGGAAATATCGAATTCCGGGCCCTTCTGTGCTCTCCGTTGAACTGACCGCATCGGCTGAAGAGGTACAACTGCAGAATCAATTTTTTATTGAGTTTTAGGCGTCTCACGACAAGTTCCACGCGCCGAAAAAGCCGGTCATCCGCATTTTGGATGCTGCTGTCTTGATCGGTGACTATATCGGCGCACTGCCCTACGAAAAACGCCTCGAGTGCATCAAGAAGTTTTGCAAGGCGGCTTCTTTGGTAAGCTACGGACCCGTTTTCGGTCCATATTGATTTTTAGGTCTCGGGTTCTGTCAGCGTGCAAACGCCAAAGCAACAGCAAAACTTCAACCGGAACCGGTCATTCGTCAAGTAAGAGATTTGATTCTCAGAAACGACTAGCCTATTTTTAGACTAGAGCCGATTGTGTTTCACCCGATGGAGTTGGTTGTCGCCGAATGTTTCAAGCTCAGCGAGATTCCACTGGTCCGTTTTGCGCTGTCTTTATTTTGCTTTATTTGCTCCGGCAGCTTTCAGCTTCGATAATTTTGCATTTTAGCATCGCCCGGTCCTGACAAAACACCAGAACGAACCCGTGGCTTTCATTCGCGACGGTCAAAACGCTTTCCGCGTCAGTGGCTTGCATGTGCTGAAATATATGAATGGTAATTGTTGAGGCTACATATACTCAAATACAACATTTCCAGACCAATGGAGCGTTTTCTGGAGCAACACGGCCAAGCAGTGCTACGCGTATTCAGTAGTAAAGGTTGGCGTTAGAGGGATTTTACGTGGAAAGCCATTTATTTAGCAACCTGTTGGTGGCCACAAGGCGGCATCGGTGTTCCCCGACAAATACGCCGAGAACCAAGTGACGACCAACTTCTACGACACAGCTTTCACCAAGAATCGCCCTCACATGCACCAGTTTTGGAGTTGGCAGAAAAGCCGTACGTTTTTTTGCTTCTTTCTCTGTGTTGAAAACCTCGCGCGCTCGGCTAAGTTACTGTTTTAGGAGGCGGTTCCGTATCGGCGTACGGCGTGAAAAGCATCATGAAGAACGACTCGCATCCGGATGGCCCAACCCTCAAGTCGGTTGCGGCCACGATTCGACCATTTACCGCGCCGATCCCCGTCAAAAGTCCTTGATCATCTCCTCTAGCTGATCTTTAGAAATTTTTGCCCTCTAACGAAAAACGTTTGATTTCAAAAGCAATTCTTTAAGTTTTGGTGTTTTCCTTGTTGCGCCCCGGCTCGTTTCTATCTATTTCGAATGATCTCCCGCTTTGCACAACCCATTTAACCCGTTGACTGCCCTGCTAATTTGTTGAATAAAAGTTGTTTGTTATAAAAGGCGCCTAGCACGAAAATTGAACTACAGCGTCAAAAGCCCTAGAAAAGCGACTCTCGATTCTCCAAGGAAAGAACGATTCGGTTTATACATTTATCGGCGGCGTAGGTATTACCGGAATTTGCAAATTGAGATCGGTGCACACAAAAAAAAACGGGATACATTACGCATCTATGAAAAATCATCGAATATTCACTTGGTCTTGGTGATTGTTTTGGTCTTGACGAGTCGCTCGTGTCGTTCATCGGATTCGGTCTCGATCGCATGGATGAGGTAGCCGCGCGCGTAGATTCCGAACCTAAAGTTCAAATGTAATGCAATTTTGGACACACTAGATGCGTCAACTAGACATTTTGGTGCTTCTGTGTTGAATTTATGCTCCAACCTATGCCGGCCGAGTACCCGGATAAACGATAGTTGTAATTGTTTAAGTACCTTCCGCTCATTGAAACCTGGTAAAGATCTCGTTTTTGATCAGTTTTACCATTTTTCATAATTTTTTTACTAAAAGGCAACGTTCTGGAAACAGTTGGATTCTTATTTGGAGGGTTTTCATATACACAAACAGTGTGAAACGCTAACACGGAAGCACCGAAATTTTGAATATCCGAGCAAAAAGGCAGCACTGCCCTTCAAACGAAAACAAGCAAACCTTTCATTCAATGTGAGGGGCTTCCCGTTATAGCGGCTCGCGTGAGAGGGGAGATCGGGCGCCGTACGCTGCAGAAATTCGTAGCCGGGGACGGGCTCTATCGTGTACTGCGTGTCCATTCTGCGGGTCGGGTGGAGGGCGGCTGAAAAAAATTATAGAAATCAACGTCGATATAACGAGAGCGTGATGGAAAAATAAAAAGCGGGGAGCGAATAGCAATACAGAGAACGCGCGCTTTTCTAAACACTTGTTCTCAAAATTCCAAGCATCCAAGGGAGTATACCGTGTTTCCGCTATAGACCCGCAAAAAAGGGAGCTATTGAGGTTAGGGGGGGGGCATCTTTTTTTGGCGCCCAGTCTTAGGCTTAGGCTTAGCTTTGACTTCACGTACGCTTGGCTTATACTTAGCTTAGACCTAGGCTTGGCTTAGGCTTAGGCTTAGGATTAGGATTAGGCTTAGCTTAGGCTTGGTTTTGGCTTGGCTTAGGCTTAGTCTATGCTTAGTCTAGGCCTAGCTTAGGCTTGGCCCAGCCCTAGCTTAGGCTTGTTCTAGGCTTAGCTTAGGATTCGGCAAGC